TTTGTGGCTATCAAGATTTCTTGATATTGCTTCAAGCTGTGTGAGAACGAATTATCGAAATACTGTTCTCAAACCGAAATGCGCAATGGAGTGAAAGTAGAGTTGGAGGGGGCCCTTCCATTCTGCTCTGCGGCTAAACGATTAGGATGAAGATAGGGCTGACGATATCTCTAGCGGTAACCATAAGAACTTCAGTACACGTCTCCTTTGTAGCAACACCTTAGGTCCAATTTCTAGGGTCACAGCGGATCGATAATGAGTTGTGGATGCCGAGTTGACTAAAAATGAAAAAAAGAAGCAAAGAAAACCGTCGATGAAGCCCTAAACAAGGATTCCCCTGAAATAAGGAAGGGCGGGGCCAGACGAGTTGTACGAACTTGCCTGCTCCACTCAACTAACCCGCGCGTATTTGAATTAGCGCTACGCCGTAATGCGTGTCATGGGTGTGCGCGACGTAACTCGTCCAAATGCTAAGATTAGTCGCCAAAAGCTGACTTTGTAAGACCCTAGCGCCATTGTCGCGCACTTTCGAGCCGCGACAACGGCACATCTGTGATACTCGTGGGCTACTCTATCCACCCACTTGCAGATTCTTCGACACGACTTCTGCTGAGGGTCGTTTTAAAGTAGCTTATTGATAAGAACCGGTGGAATTCCCTACTCCTTCCATTGATAACCAGTCCATTTTTGTTCACTGTGAAGCTCCTCCCTCACCTTACCATGCCCCTGGGCCTAGGCAAAAATGTCCCTTATGGCTCAGGATCGCTTCTCCTCGCTATCCACGCTGATTAGAGCCGATCCTTATCAAAAAAACTTCTCTGAGTGAAATTGTCTTCGAAGCTTGAGGTGTTCTTCTTAGCGTCATGAACGACCTTATCTTGAGAGCCGCAGAGCAGGATGGAGCGGGATAAGGTGGCTCTCTCCAGTTCCATTTTTCGCTGCGCAGTGGTCCAACAATCAAAAGGTGTTGGCAGGAGGCGGTAATCTGATATTGAGTGCACTGCTCTGTGTGTTATCTTCATCGTGAAACTGCGCAAACGCAGCCTTCAGGATACAACTTGTGACCTGGAACGGTATATGGTACTCAATTCGGAAAGGCCAGGGTAACAGAGTCTCAGTGAGCCAATACCTTAGTGGTGAGCGGGCCCAGATGTGCTATCGGATACTGTAGAAGG